TGAAGAGAAGGATAGAGATGAGTCAAACTGGTATCCCGGTGCCAAAATGAGCTGAAGTTGTTTTAATGGGGGATAGAAATGAGTCAAACTGACATCCTGGTGCCAGAATGTGCCGAAATGTTTTAGGCGGAGGATAGAGATGAGTCAAACTCATCAAAGTTGGACTTCTGTATTTCTTTGACCCACACTTGAGGTTGTGAGGTTGTGAGGGTAAACAGCTCAAGAATGACCGCCGCTGCAGATGGAGCATACCTGTTGGTATCTGCACTGAAAGTGATGGAGAATCTGGCATCCCAGTGTTTAAAGGTAGAGATTTGTTGGAATGGTAGGAATCAACACAGAAAATTGATGACTGATGTGGTACAAAGCAGTTGTGAGGGCAGGCCAGTCCAGATTAACCACTACTGTAGAAGAAGCAAGTGTGCAGGTGTTTGCGCTAAGGCTTGCTGCAGCCAGCTAGGTTAAGACAGTTGCAGACAGTTTGTCCTTGTATCTGAAGCACTGGTTTTCTTAAAGACGATGCCTTGTGGCAGGGACATGGGAATGAGAAGCTTTGTGGCCTTAGGAATAGCAGCTAGCAGTGAAGATGATTCAAGGAGAAAGATCTGCTTCGAATTGTGGACAGTACATGTGGTGGCTGGGTAACTCAATTATCCTCATTTGTGACGTTTTAAAGATTACTGTGCAGAAAAGGTGCAATGATACAGCTCTTAATAGCAATGCCCCCAGTAGGTGTCTCAGATGAATTGTTGGAGGCAAGCTGCTGCGTTTGAGGCAATCTGAATGTAAGAATGATGGATGCCTGTGTCTCCAGGATGGAGGGCTATGTTGAGAAACTCTTTTACTATGAGCTGGCAGCCCAGTACTGATAGAGACAGAGAGAGAAACATTGCTGGGAAGGGTTGATGGAAAGGACGAACTGGCAACTGGTTCAGGATAGAGATAGATAGAGATGTCATGATCAATAGCAAAGCCATGGCGTCTAACAGGGTTGAAAGCTCTATGAGTTTGTCAGAAGTTGAAATAGTTTGACTTTATTGTCAGTGAGGTGGCAGATGAAGACTTTCTCTTATGAAAGTGTTTCTGTCTGAAGACCCACGGTGATCTGGCTGAAGACTTCTCTGGACACTGGTCTGCTTTGGACATCAATGCTGGAGCAAATGGAAGTTGAAGAGGTAGTGATTCCGTTTTGGTGTTCCCTGAGAAGACCCTGCCTGGTTGTAGATGGGATTGGATGAGGAGTGTCTGATGTGACTGGAGAAAAAAGTTGTCTCTTTGGGATGAGCAACGCTCTTAATGGCATTTCTGGAGTGACATCAATCCCCTCATCTCTGAGGCCTCGTTACCTCCACCAAGGAGGTTGTGTTTTAGCCAGCATTTATCTGTTTGTTTGATAGTTTGTTTGTTTGTTGGTTTGTGTGTTGTTGGTTTTTTTTGTTGGTTTGTTTGTTTATTAGCAAGATAACTTAAAAAGTTCTGAACGGATTTGAATGAAATTTTCAGGAAATGTTGATAATGGCACAATGAACAGATGATTAAATGTTGGTGATGTTCTAGCTTACCATCTGGTTATTTTCTTATAAAACAGTAAATGCTGTTCAGTGTCACCGTCGCTCAGAATGCTGTCGTTGCGCCATTTGTCCACTAGATGGAGCTCTGACTCCATTCAATCCTTCAGTCCTCACCGATGTATTCTCAGTAGTACAGGAGTAAGCTACAGTCAGGCTACATTACAGGAGTGGGCTGAGCAGAGCTTGTCGTCACATAAGTTCATAACCACATTGTGACGTTAACAATGACTCAACATGTCTCCTGTTATACTTTAACTCTCTTTGCCATGTGTCATGACGACTGACGTGTGCTTCATTGCATCGGTCATGCTTTCATTTATGTTGCACTGCTGAAGTTGTGCTAACCTAGCTTAAGTTACTCCCAGTCCGTTTATGTTAGTAATAACATTGCTGTAGTCAAGCCAACCGTTAGCTAACAGCTTAAAAGCCAGCAAGTAACTGCAGAAATAACATAAGTGTACAAGATATTTGAGTACAGAAAGACAGGTCATCACTCCATCAGCTTGTTATTAGTGATGCCAATGTTGATTCAAATGCTAAAGGTATGTTTTGATTCTCCATGAATCTAATCGTGTAGATAAAATGAATGCAAGACTTTAACATTGGCTGGAAATCACAATATGGTGGAAATGAGCTGCTTGGCGAAGGTCTGCGCTCTCCGAGTGCTTTTCTAGTTGTGGATTAGGCTGACTGTCGTGGAAGAGATCTGCAGCCAGGTTGGACGTTCAATCCTGATCTTAATCTTGATTCAATGAATAAATTCACTTTAACAAAAAAAATGTTCCTGGTGATAATGTTGCCCCTGAATGTATGTACGAAAGTAATTTACTTATGTTGGAACTTTGCTTGATGTAAGTTGATATAAATCACACATTAGTATTAAAGCTTTACTAGGCAGTGAAGGGTCTTAACTAATGCACAGCTTTATTCCTATACCAGGGTCTGCTGAGTCCAACTAAGGCCCTGAGATACCACAATAAATCACTGACTGATCATTCAGTTTCATCAGTATTTGGATTTTAGTTTCATCTTAGATCTAGAACATTTAAAAAAAAGCTATCCAACAGCGCAAATAGCACGGAATCTAATTTATTTATTTCAAACTGTCAAGTTAATTGAACCTATTTACAAAAGAAATTAAGAAAAAATAGTAGTTTACAGACTATCATTGTATGTAAACAAAGTAGGCCTGATAACCTACCTGGTTACTGCAGTCTGGTCATTATTTTCCTTAGGATTGTCTTTACAAGCAACCCATGACAACACACGGTCATTTGTCCCATTGCTGAAATAAAAATTTAAAAAAAAATAATAATAAAAAAATCCTAATGCAGCTTTAAGTTGCAAAGCGAAGAACATGATTCTCAGCTCAGACAGCTCTGTTCCCCGTGTTGCCTGAATCACTTTAGCAAAGTGCTTTTTACTTCTATTTATTTATCGTGGGAAACACCGTGGAATCTGCACATACCCACAGCTAACAGTATATCCACGGTAGAAAGGGTGATGAATGCACTGCCACCTGTTTCCCTTGACTCTATGGTTTTATGTGAGCAGTGATGTAGTGCTTTCAGCGCCGAGCGTGTCTCCGAGCACAGCAGGCAAACGCTGTTGCTCCAAGTCTTGTGGACTTGTTGACTTGGCGAGCCTCTAGCTTTGAATTCACACTGTGTCGTGTCTGCTTCCTTCTGATTCATCTCAAATTTGCATATTTTCAAATTATCTCTGCTTTTGTTGCAAACCTCGGTGGAATTTGCATAGCACAATCCCAGTGAGTCATCTCCGCATAATACCGTGTTCCCTAAATGGAAGACGCTGCTCTAGGCTGCAGTCGATGTTGTAGCTAAAAGCTGCCTCTTGCTAGAGTTGATGGTGATAGTACTTTGCTTCACACTCTGAGAAGGAATGAAATTCTCAGTCTGGGTGGCCAACTCTTACATAACAATATGACTGGTTGAGATGCCTATCACTCCCACAGTGCTGACATTCTTTCACCGTGCCGTCCTGTTCTTTTGGTCTTACAGTAGCTACAGTGCCGTGAAAAAGTGTTTGCCCCCATGTCATAGTCTTAGTTTTTTTGCATGTTTTCCCCACTTTAATGTTTAAGATCATCAAATAAATGTAAATATCAGACAAAGATAAAACACAAAATGAAGTTTTTAAATGATGATTTTATCTTTTAAGGAAAAAAAAACTATTCAAAGCTACCTGGTCCTGTGTGTGACAAAGTAATTACCCCTTAAACATAATAACTGGTTGGGCCACCATCAACAGCAACAGCAACAACTGAAATCAAACGTTTTCTATAACTGGCAATGAGTCTTCCACGTCTCTGTGGAGATATTTTGGCCCACTCTTCTTTGCATAATTGTTTGACTTTAGCAGCACTGGAAGGTTTTAGAGCATGAACGGCTGTTTTAAGGTCATGCCACAGCATTTCAATCAGATTCTTTTCCTGACTTTGACTAGGCCGCTCTAAAACCTTCATTTAGTTTGTTTTTTAAGCCATTCAGAAGTCAACTTGCTGTGTTTTGGATCATTGTCCTGCTGCAGAACCCAGGTGCACTTCAGCTTGAGGTCACAAACTGATGGCCACATACATACACAAATCAGTGCATATGTTTAAATGGCACAAATATTTTTTACCACCTTATCATGGTTTTTCCAACTGAATAAGTTGTGTTTTGTGCATTTTAATGTTCCATCTATATATTTGTTATTTGCATTCCTTTTTCCTCCTCTTAGATTTTATCTCTCATTACATGCATGTATGTAGATTCTATTACTTACATTATAAATGTGTTGAACTGTTAAATTCCATTTTCATCAATCAGCCACAACATCAGAAACACCAGAAGGTGTCGTGGATGATACTGATGATCTCATTAAAGTGCAGTGTTCTGCCGGGACACCTTGGGTCCTGGTATTCTTATGGATGTAACTTTGACACTTATGTACGTGCACAGGACCCACTGCTAATGTCCTAGTGCCAGACCCTCGGGACGCCAGTCAGAGTGGCCTACATGTTAGGCAGGTAGTTCTCATTTTGTTGGAGATTAGCGTATGTGTGTTGCATACGTAATATGAGGACTGAGTTTGATGAAATGCTATAGCACTTACAGAACCGTTTTTTAGAAGCACAACAAATTCGGTATAATGATGAAATAAAATGAAACATCCTTTTTTAATTTTTTAATTACAAGTAAATTACTCTAATTTCAGAGCAATCAGCAAGCAAGCAATCAAAAGCCCACATCAGTTAAGCCCTGCAAATTACATTTCTACCACTGTGAGTCTGGCAGGTCCTAATGTTACAATAAAAAAACAAAAATCTCTGGCCGTCACAGGATGAGCTCTTCGTGGAATGGCCTCCTACCTTGTCAGTAAAGATGCAAAACTTTTTCAACACCTGCTCTGTCTTTTGTGTTGCAGTGCCTTCGTTCTGGGGGCTGGTAAACTCGGCCTGGAACCTGTGCTCAGTTGGGAAGAGGCAGTCCCCAGTCAACATCGAGACCAGCCACATGATCTTTGACCCCTTCCTCACACCAATAAAGCTAAACACAGGCGGGCGCAAGGTAAGGACACTCAAATGCAAACACACGCTCTAATCTCTGCTGTCTGCTTGATGGATCCTGAAGCTTTGTAAAAGTGGTTGTACCTCTAAGATGTCACACTGCACTGCTTTAGTGCTATTGTGGAGGTTGCTGTTTCAGCTCTATTGTGATTTGATATGGTGTGTATTCCTGATTGATGCTCCTGAATGCTGTTTGTGTTGGCTTACAATGTTAGCTATTTGTCTAATGAACACTCTCCTGGAGATAAAATACGGCACAATTTACCTGTTCAAAATGCACAATGCTTGTGTTGTGGTTCAAGAAAAGCCCCAACTGTATCTTAAGGGCTTTACAGATGTAATCCTGCAGCCTTACAGCAGATTAGTCAAGCGCATTGTTTTATTATTTTCCCCAGTACAGTGGTGCAGAATTTGGTTCTAGTGTGTACTATATGACAGCAGATAATTGGGAAGACTTTACAGATGGGCTGCTTTTAAAAGTACCCACTTGCATGGCCAGATTAATGTTGTGATTAATGTCTGTTTACATTCCAGTGGTGAGTGTAGGGTTAGTCTCGGGCAATGGTAGTTGAGTGTGTGTGTGTATAGGACAAATTGCAGATTACCTCCGATGGTACACTGCTACAATGGATGTCTTCATGTAACAACAGGTAGATGAATAGGGGCCTAAGGACATGCAGGTAAGTCCTTAGGCCCCCTATTTGATCAGGTTTTGGTTCTTGGGACCATTGGGGGAGTTCAATCTTAAGAATTGAATTGTAGGTCTGTCTACGAATACAATATGATTTGAAGAGACACTTCTGATTAGAATAATCACGTATACATTTCCTCACTGGCATAACGTCTCCTTAAAATGAAAATTAAATGTAACAATCTCGTCCTTTTGCAAGGGCTCCCCCACTGCTCCCTCAAGGGCACCACTTTGAGAGAAGCTACCCTGCAGAGTGTCCAGAGTGAGGACATTACTCATAGTGGCACTGTTTTATTGTTATTAGGATAAATCCTGTGGAATGAGATGGGAGCTGAGAAACACATAGAACCAGAACTGGTATATTTAGAGCTATATCTCAATGTCAGTGTTCTAGAAAATATGTCTGGTCGATTCAATAAGAGTTATGCCATCTTTTGACTATTTCCACTGAATAAAACGTCAGCATTTGGTAATTAAGTCTAAGACAACACAACACCATGATCTGTTTTATGCGAATGTTTCCTTGATAAGCGACATCTTGAGTTTTTCAAAGAAGTTACCATTCTCTCTAAAGAGTGACCACAGAGGTGAGTTTATTGTTTTTGATCAGGAAACTAATGAAGCTGATATCTGAAATTCAAAACAGGAATGTAGGACTGGAAATGAATTACAGTTTTAAAAGGTTTGTAGCATTTTCTAAAAGGCTGTTTTTTCGTCTGTAGTCACCAGCACAGCCATGTATGTGGTAACCCGGTCATCTAGTGCAGGACATAGTTTGGGTTGAGGTATAAAACTGTCAAATGTTGGTTCTTGTCAGCCCCACTGTTAAAAAGATCACAAAGGCTATGTTCGACTTGTACAAAAGTGTGATTAGTTGCCTAAGCCTAACATTGACGTTAACCTTCACCACAATGACAGCATATAAGAAGTTTGTTTTATTTGTTGTGGGAGACGCTGCCAAGTGACCTGCAGTATTCTGTTTTCTCAGCTTTGAGAAGTTGTCTATGCAGATGTAAATAGTTTGCTATACATTGTAAAATAGTATACGGGAATCTACTGGAATAAACTAACCCTAGTCATTAATTTAGTTAAATATATATATATTTTAAATAGTCAAAAGTAGCTGCAATCAGAACATAAGTCTGCAACCTGTATATGCAGTACAACACATATAACACATTGCATATTATTTCCAACACATCTAATTGAGTATAGGCAAGTGAAGATACACCAGATTGTATCAATTGTCATAGGAATCCCAAAAAGTCAAACTATATAGGTAATATTGCCCTACTGTCTGATCCAGTAAATATACCATCAGCACCCATAGATAAGCTGCAAAAAGTCATTAAAAATAAGGAACTAGCACGTTTATGGTGTGACAATGTTGTGATAAAGGTTTAGCTCAAAAACAACTTTAAAAAAAGATTGTAGCTGTTCTTCAGTGAATGCTTCATTGTCGTTAGAGGACATTCAGATGACTAAATCAAATATTCTGATGGGGGCAAAAATCCTCCCACCTGAATGACTATTTACATCATCTTACATATTTCCTGAAGACAGCCCATGAAAGCATAATATTGCAGAAAAGTTTTTCACCACTCTCCACATTTTTTAAAATTAAGTCTTGGCACCAAAACCGACCTGTGACGGCACCCACCAGTCACTCAAAGCACCCAAATGATAGCCCTAAATGTGCATAACTTAACAACTAACCTGTAATTGATTTCAAATGGGTAAGTTATTCAAAGAGTCTTAAATAAGGGTTGACTTCATTTGTAGTCCCTGATGTTGCCAATTTTTCATAATGAGCTGATAGAACAAACAATTTATGGGGTCATTTTGTACAAGTAGATAATCTAAAAAAAACATTGTAAGTGTCAATATTACTATTATGTTCACTATCAATTTCCAAAGTCCATTGGTGATCTCTTCATTGCATTAATGAAATCAATCTTCAACTAAACTGACATCAGAATTCGATTAGATCAAACTTTATTGTACTCGCTTTTGCAGTTGTGGTTGTAAAAGATTGCAACTTGGTGTCACATTAGGCTTTAAGGACCACCATCACTGACAGCTCACAGTACCACCCACATAAACCTAAGTTCAACTTTCTCATTTATCTCTCAGAAAAGTTTCCAGAGTCCAAAAGCCATTTTGGACTCTCTCTTTCTTTCTTTCTCTCTTCCTTTATCCCCCCCAACCCCACCCCTCATCTCCTCTCTGCAGTGGCCCAAATGTAATCTGTTGTGTCTCCATCTCTCTGAGCACCTGAGCTGTCAGCCGGTGAACACGAAGCTGGCTTCACCTTGTCATTGCTGATTCATCCCTGCTCTGTCTCTGGCTGTTTGGCAGCCAGTCAGCCTTGGCCAAACACGCTACGGAGACCGGTAAAGAGCTTCTGCTTTGGTTCGCCGAGGCTCAGCTCACCACCTCGACACAGAGAGAGCTTAAGCCCACTTTTTTTTGCCCAGGAGGAAAGCAAAGAGAAAGATTAACCCCCCCTCCCCAACCCCCCTTTCTTCTTACAATACACAACAGATGCATGAAAATGGCTGAGAGAAAATGAACTCCTCTTTTAATAGATTTTTGTGCTGCCCTGTTCAATGGCTAATGAACAGCTAAAGGAAATTTAATTGACCTCCAAAGAGAAATTTTAATTAATGAGGGGGAGACATGTGAGGCTATGTGCAATGAATTGAAGGAATCACAGTTATTAAAAAGCCACTATTAATTGAATATTTTCTCTGCCATAGATGAGCTGCAATTACTTGTAGAGATTTTAATGAATTTAATCACTTTTGAGCCTGGGAGGTGGGAAAAAGTGATTTTGGAGTTCTCCCTCTCTTCATGAAGTGTTTTCCTCACATTTATGAATAGTGCTTATAAAACAGGATTAGAAGTCTTTTGTCACTTCTTTCCTGCTTTATATTTCAGACTAAATGTGTGGGGAATCTATTAGCGCTGTGGAATTGGTGACATATTCGGTTATGCAGGACTCTCACCTGCTTTTGTTCTGATGCTTTAAAGTTAGGTGTGTATGTCCAGAGGCACTAATACCCCTTTTTCCCCAAGTTGGTTCCAGTGCGAGTTCCATGCTAGTGCCTGACTTCACACCAGTTCTTTGTGTTTCCACCACTTAAGCACCGGCTCCAGTCTCTCAAAACTGGTGCTTAGCGAGCACCAACTCTTTGCTGGGCCAGAGCTAAGAACTGAGTAGGTCAGGGGCTGGGGCGGGGTTATCGTGATCCCGAGACCGATGAATGGGATGCACAAGTGCTGATTTGTGTCGTTTTTTGCCAGGACGTCTCTGATCCGATCGCAGATGTATTGGAATGAGTCCCGGGAAGTTTTGCACAAACTGTCCGGTACAATTGTGTCCCACCAGCAGCACCACAGTGGTGGACAACAGTTCTTCTATAATTTCAGTGTACTGCGGTATTTACGCTTAGAAATGCAGTCTTCTCATGAAAAATGGAGCGCACCAACGTACGCTGTTTATTCCACTCATAGAAAAGACCGCTTGAGAAAAAAATCACTGGGTTTCATCTTGGACAAATCTGACATTAGAACACTCTAGTTTACTCTTTTTAAAGTCATTCTTGGTCACACACCGGTCTGAGCACCGCGGCCACCATTAGCAGCTACCACAGCCTGTTATGTGGGGTGTTCAGGGAACATCGTAAATTGTAGAGTCTATTGATAAGAAAACGTTCATGCAGTCATATGTTTTATCTGTGACAAGGTGGGAAGTGCGAACAAATGAGAAAGTTGGTCACACTGGTAAAAAAGTTAGTCTGGAGTCCTGCATGGACTTCCGTGTGGTGCGAGCGTTGTTCAGTAAACGGTTATGTATGCAGTGACGTATGGCGTGGCTCTAACTTGGCTCCTTGCAGATGGAAACGCAAACAGATTCTTAGGAGGTGTGAGATTTGAACCAACTAAGTGCTGGTACTAGCACCAGCACAGAACTAGCACCTGGTTCTTCTTGGTGGAAAAGGGGTTTCAGTGTGATCAGTTAAAAAGAGTGCTTTTTAGAAATTATATCCAGTTACCTGGAATTCTGAGTTGAGTTAAAGTTGTGTTTTTAAAGCTTTAAATCATACTTCTGTTGCTAAACAAGATCCAAATGCTTTTGTGACAGACTTTGACCTTCGCAAACAACAGGAGATCATTTTCTACTTTAGTTTCTGACTTGTTTCTTCCTCTTCTGTTCATGAAAACAGCTTTCTACCATTCTGATCAATTAGAAGAGGAAATCTGACAAGCAGGCAGGCTGATGTGGATGTTTGTGTGTGCTATTGGCA